GGGGGGGTGGGGCAAAAAAAAAAAGGGCAGAAAAGCAAAGCACCTGAAGTTTGGATGAGGAGCTATTGTAGGAATTGTTCCATCTATCACACCTCTCTCACTCATGGTAAGAACACCTCCTGGTTCAAGTAAAGCATTCAAGCGGTCCAGCACAGAAGGGCTATATTCAAAAGAAATTTACATAGTTATAAAAAGGTAACAATTTGGTCTCTTTCTGATCTGAAACCCAAACGGTACTAGTCTTAAGCAAAAGGCCAAACAGCTACTTATGTTAAAAGGTAACACGAAAACTATCAACTGCTAAGCTGTCTAAAAAGGAAGACACTCTCAGAAAATTGAAGTTACTGCTCCCATGTATTGTTACCAAATGCAGAATGTTCAGTTGTGTACCATACAGAAAGAGATAAAGAATATCAGGTAGGTCAAAGGATTTACTGAGTGAAACAAGGTCACTACAATCTCTTACTTGCAGAAGTTAACGTTGTCCATCAACAGCCAGTCTCCAGACTGCAGGGCCTGAACCAACATCCCATCCACCCACTCAAAAGTGCCGTGGCTGTTACGGTCAGCAGCCTGGGCTTGCTGCAGCTTGAAACGCCGGAACTCTTCTACGAGGTGAGCAAACTCTGAAAGGAAGTATCTTACATCAAGACTTACATTACTGAGGTAGCTTCCTGTTCCATTCAAGAAAAATAGTAGTTATTTTGCTAATAAACATGTACGCTTCCTACTTTTTAGGGGAACATAACAGCAGAGGCTCCAGCTCATCAAGTAGCCTCTCATGGGCAAAATCCATGAGGACATACAGGGTTTGCAAACACAGAGAAACATAAACTAGACTGACACTTTTTTCCCCTAAACGGATACTCTTCTCCATCCCTTCTCCCCCATTAGATGAAGGTTGATGAGTATTAATGCCATATTTTAGACAATGATTTTTTTTTAAAAAAAGAGAAGAAAAAAGAAGCCATGCATTATTCTGCTAACATTTGTAAAGCTCAGCTAATCAATGCTTCAGAGAATAAACACAAGAATAGAATATTCAAATTGCCTTTCTTAGGAATACATATGATAGAGCTGTTGCATTATATGTTGAGTAGTTCAGTACAGGAGAATTTGAGTGTGGACTACTGATCGCTAACAGGTGTAACTATACACAAACAAATAAACCTGAAGAACCATCACCAGTGGAACCTTTTCAGAAGCTAGGCTGTTACATAAGTAGTATGAAGCAACAGTATTGACTACAAAGAACCTATAAAAGACCTCCAAGTTTTCTCAAGCTTTCACTGCAGATTTATATATTTCTCTTATTTTCTTCAGAGGAAAATATAGTCTTACTTCAAATCGCCCACCATACATACCTGCCTTTGAGTAAGAATTTATTTTGTTGTTTAGTCGCTGGGTAAGTACAAGTATTCCCTCCAGTTTGCTCACTAATTCAGCTGTAACACTTCTACCTCCTTCACCCAGAGATTTGGGTTTGTAATTCAGGATGAAATTGCTCCAAGCACGCAGCACAAGTTCAGCATCATCTGCACAAATTTCTGTCAGAAGAAGGCTGTCCCTTACTAGTGTGCTCACAGCATTCTCCACTTTTTCCAACAGGAGCTGCCATGGCCTATTGATATCAACCTGCAAACACATCATTATGTAGTTAGTTCATCCAGAAGACAGTGGTGCCTAAGGCTCCATTTGGTGCTCTAAACACCAAGATCACAGTGACTTGGCCACTGTTAGGTAGGAAGGAGAAATACTGTCATATTACCAAAACAGTATTTACCTGTTCAAATCCACCCAGGAGTTCAGTTGTATCCATTGCACTGTTCATTGCCATGATTTTCAGTCGATGGCCAGTCAGATGGGCCAGGAGCTCAACAAGACTGGTTTTGCCAACAGCTGCTGGGCCCACCAGAATTACCATCCAGCTCATGTGCACACATTTCATTATAGACTCGAGGTACTGCAGTGAGTGATGCAGAAGCGAGAGACTTCTGCCAGGATGCGGAATATAGTTACCACGAGAAAGAACTGAATAACCAATCTGGAAGGGATGAGAGACATGAGTGAGTAATCAGAGGCAAATGGGAGCTCAGCTGTGCAAGTTGCTTCCTTCTCTCTCCACTCACAAAACCTCTTGCCAACAGCTTACCTGAACATTATATGGAGTGATGTGAAACTCCCTGGTTCCTGTATACACATCAGCGTCCTGGCCAAAAATGTCTCTAAATATAGATATAACCTAAAACAGTTGAAAGAGAAAAAAAGAGACTTATTGGTTTTAAGTTGTCTATTGTTCTAAAGATTTACTTCTAAAGTAGCATTCCCTCTCAGCTTCATAATCATGCAATAGTAACTAACACAGTTAAATCAAAATGTCATTTAATTCAAAGTGCAGCAAGTGATTAAAGTGAGTGCGAGCTGCCACAGCAACCCCTTGATTAATCACAACCTCCTGTGACTTGAAATACTGCAAGTAATGTTTCTCTAACAAAATACTGGGAAAGAAGTAAACAAGCTCTTTGACAATATGTAAAAATATAATGCTACTACATAAAGGGGAAAGTAAACCCATGAGAAAATATCCAGTCACGTTCAGTAAGTAAACTCGGTCTCACAATCTGCCTTTTACTTTAACACCATTTAAATGTTGTGAAATTAAACAAAAGCAAAGGATTTCTAGGCACTAGAGGGGTAAGGAGGTGGCAAAGGTGGAAAAACAACTGCAGTGAGTGTGTTTTATCAGAGGCATTGTAAGCAGCAGGTTTAACAGAATAAGGAGAGCAATTTCACAGGCAGATGAAAGAAGTGACAGATAAAAGTCAGTACAAGAAATCCAAGTCGGAACAATTTAAAAATGCTGTCAGAGAAGGGCAGAATTATGGGGCATTATTTTTATTTACTGTACTGACACAAATGCTTTTTAACCATAACTTTAAGAATCTCTCCATATCTCAGTGCCATTTCTCTTCTCTACTCCCTGTCTTCTTTTTCCTCACAAATATGCATGCAACCCATGCCACTTCTGTAAGAACATTATTATTTAATACAGAATCACACAAGAATATGTTGTGTTTTGCTCTGTTTAAGTCCTTTGTTATTCTACCTACCTTCCTTTATACCAGCTTTCTGTTTTTATACTATTAGGTAATTAAATTGATATTTTAAAGGACACTGGGAGCAGGTACATATATTAAACCACAAAACCCCCCAAAAAAGCTATTTTTCTTTTGTAAGAGGCAATGGCTACGAATGAATTGCAAAGCATCTTCAAATTTACACTTGGATTTCTAGAAATACTTCCTGACAATCTGAAGAGTGAGGAAGAAAACACAGCTCACCTTTTCTTTATCTTCCTTGGTTCTCATTCTTTCTCCATATACCAAAAATACATGCTGGCCTGGATCATAACATCCTGGTGACTGGTCAACAAGCATAAGCTGGCACCAGCGGAAAAGATCACGTAAGTTGAACTCCCAAGGTCCTCCTTTCTGACCCCACTTTTTTTCAGCCATTATTTCTTTGTCAATCTGGAAAAAGTAGAAATTAAAGAAAAAAAAAAATTATTCCACCTGTGTGCTGGTCTTCAAATATTTTAAAAAACCCAGCTGACCTTCTGCCTCTGACACTGCTTACAAGACAGGGGCCAACAGAAAGAGCAAGCTGAATTCACTCTTCTGAAGATGGCAGGAACTAAAGCTTGATTTAGTTGACACATATCCTTAAAAGTTTCTGCAAAGGTCAGATGCTGCTTTAACTAACAACATCCCATAATAAAGAGCAGTTTAAAAATTCAGACCAGAAATAGAAATGCACATTTCAGTTCTTGTTAAGATATGGCTCATTTTGTTTGTGCTTCAACAACAATCCATATGTGTGGAAAAACATTATTTTCTCAACTCGCTTCAAGCTACCAAACCGTAACTGTTTCCACCTTTTGTAGAACAAAGTGTTATATATATCTACATATTTTATTTTCTCTGACAAGTAACGCCTCTTCAGTTATCAACCAAGTATCTGATTGTAGACATAAAATAATTCAGGTGATTTTTAGTGGTGTTTTTTATTTTCTTCTACATATATTTCTATCCCTCTTTTTCACTAATGCACTTCTCTATAAAAATGCTTGGAAATAGAACATTATTTTTTTTAATCTTACTGCATTCTGCCTACTTCTGCACAAAAGAAATTAAAATATATATTTACCTTGTTATTGAAAGCAACCATTTTAGCAATAATACTTTTATCAATAGCAGGAAACAATGTATTCCCAATAAACTCCATATCTTCTGCTGACAGTGGATCAACATACACCTGTAGAATCAAGAGCATGATGAGCATTGATATAGCCAGAAAACTACAAGACAGGATCATGACATAATTTAAACCAAACAAGTAAGCTTGCCTGTGTAAATCTATTAAGAAAGGACTTGGGCAGACCCTTTCTTCCACCTCCTTGTCGGTATGGATTCTGGCATCCAAAAATCTTAGTCTTCTTGTGCTGTACATGAAAATTCATTCCCAGTTCTGGAACATAAATCTCTGCTCTGTGGTCAAAGCATGCGTTTAGCCCCTCTAATACAGATTGAGAAGCCAGATTCAACTGAGGAAATAAATAAGGATACAATATTAATGTTCCACAAAACACTTTGGTATAATCTCTAGTTTAACAGACTGCAATACGCAGAAGGTAAAATTCAACTTCCTTGCAGTTCCAGCAGTTATTACACTGGAGCAACAAAACTATAACTAGCAGTTTTCCTTATGTGCACTTGTTATGTATACTGTGTTTTCACCGTGATAACAAAATATTTCTTCATTGTAAAATCTGCATATTCACAATGTTTCTTCTGAACTTATGTTCACTCATTTGTGACATCCAAATGTTCTGTTTGCTTACTTGTTTTTTAAATTAAGGCAGTCTGGGTTATTTAAGTATCATGGTTGTCTAAAGTGGTATTCTTCACAATAGGAAAAAAAGGTATACAAACAGCTAAAGAATTTAAAGTATTGCACTCTGCAATGATTAGAATGCACATTGTCAAGAAGTGAGCTCTGCACGTGCACATGTTTGAAAGCACTTGCTACTTGGTGCATGAACAAAACTGTTGTGGCAGGATACTTTATACCAGCAAAATGGAACTCTTCTTCATCCCAGTTAAACCAATATCCTACTGTGTTTTAGTCCCAGCAAAAGGCCTTCTATTTCAGTGAAATTATATCCATATAAGAGCATGCGTACCTAAACTTCTGTTGACACTCTCCCCAAAAACTTTCATATGTAAACCAAATCTGTACTTGGTTTTGTGCAGTAATTTAGGCTGGGACTCAGTCCTTGCCCTCTTGTCTAAAAGAGATCTAGTCAAAGCTGGGCTTTCACACTCCCTCTACGGAGGGCCAACAGGCAGAGTGACTTAGTAGAGGAAGATTAATTTTCTCTTCAGTGGAATGATCACTTTCAATGTGCACTAGATGCACACAGCTAAAATTAAGCAAAATTTATTTAAGCCATCAATTCAGAAAGGTATTTACCCTACATGCCAAATCATCTACCTTTGCTCTTCCAGAACAGTCCGTTTTATTTGTGGCCCAAACTTGAACTTACCTCATCTAATACAATCCAGTGTCCAGCCTTTAATGCTGCTAGTAGCGGTCCATCACGCCAGGCAAATTCTCCTCCCTTCCCACCTTCAACAGGCAAGTCTGTCCCAAACAAGTCTGTCACATCCTTTGGGAGTAGAAAATGGGTGGGGTAAATTTACAAAACTTCACAGAAGTTCATAAACAACTTTTGTTAAACTTTACTTCGCATTTTCTCCCTCCCCTTTATATAGAGCTAAAAGGTATTTATTAAATTTGAAGTAACTGCAAGTTGCTAAAAGCTTTTCCATGATGGGACTCCAGTGACCAGCTACTACTATATTTAACAACAAAAAATTAAATTTGAACAGAAAAGCTAACACGTCTTAAAGCTGTTTTCAAGAAACTTTGCAGAAGCCAAGAAAAACACAATGGACACATATACGCATGTCTTCACTTGAACAGAAAAGTCTGGGAACTGGCATTCACTCACAAAAGCTCACTGGATCGTTCTGGTTCCCCCTTCCCATTTAGCTGTATCTTGAGACCAAGAAGGAAAAATTGACATTTCAGACCCAGTGCTAAAGCTAAAAGAACTACGCTTTTTAAGTTAAGCAAAACTTCCCCGTGCCATAAACACTAAGTTACAAAGATAATATTTTATTCTACCGTTTGCTCAGACAGGTTGATTCGAACAAGACAGTTTCCCGAGGCTTTTGCCAGGGCAGCAACCAGACTGGTCTTGCCCACACCTGGTGACCCCTCCAACAAAATAGGTTTATTAAGCTGTAGGGCTCTTAAGAGTCGTTGTGCATTCACTGCTGTAGTCCCAGCACTTAGAGCATAATCCGTAATGCTGTTTCTCTGGACAATAGGACCTAAATCAAAGGAGAAGTAAATCAGAAAACAATTAAACCAGAATGTTTATGCTGGAGCTGTTGATAGTGTGCTTATGAGATCATTTTGTCTGTTAATTGCTGGTCTCATTACAGCAAGCAATGGAGATCAAGCTTGTATCCCATTCTCAGAGATCAGGCACATATACTTTCTGTTTGATCCACAGCTGTGTCTCAGCCCAGCTCTGCATATTTATGTTGAATTTTGCAAAAACTTATGAATATACAATGTATTTTGCCATGAAACTTTCATACATCCTGGTTCATGACCCAAACTAGAGATCTATCACTGAAAAATCATAAATCTGTCCTTGCGCTTCAGACACGTGGATCTAAAACTCGAAAGTAGCTTTTGAAAATTTGGTATTGAAGGATACAATTCAGTCATGTTATAGAACAACATATTAGCCCGTTCCATACACTGCTAGTTCTGCCAAGTAAGAGTGCTTTAATGAACGTGTGCTGCTAGGCACATATTTTCTGTACTGTTACCATGACATACTGCTGAATTCCAGCCAGTATAGCTCACTGAGACACCACTCCCCAAATCCTTAATTGCTCAGGTATACAAGATATTAATCACCAATTTATCTTACACATCTTGACATCTGTTTAGTATAAAAGAGATCCTTCCTTTTGTGATCTAATCAGCAGAGGGAAACTAAGCAACTTAGAAAAACGAATTACCTTGTACAATTTTATGCATGACTAACACAACCCATGGATATCAAAATGTTCAAAGATGAATGATTATTATAGCACTAGGAACACATAGTTCCATGCACTAAAGACTAACCAGCTGAACTAGAAAGCTCAGAGTTACCACTTTTTAGTCCTGTCACTGTATTTTAAGGGTAGAAAGCAATATTTGGATAGTTTCATTTGCATTAATTTGTCACACGAGGAACTGAAACGCTGGGATGAAATAATTTTGCAAAAATTGCAGTGAATCTTTGAGAGGCTACAGCAAGGCAGGGCATTAGTCTCCATTCTGTTTAGCACTGTACCCAGTGCTGCTTCTCATGCTTTACACAAGGCCCAGGATGAGCTGCAGTTTTTAGTCAGTGGAAGTTAGCAGACATTCCGACCATGCAAAGAGACAGAAAATTACACCACAAAATTAAAGAAGCTTTGTTATACCAAAAGAGTCTACTAAAATTAGGCATTAACCAGTAATTTTAAAAAGTCAAAGAAAGCAATTAACAGATGTGCCTTCTTAATAAGTGTGACTGAGTTGCAATCAACTCACTTGAAGGCAGAAAAGGCATTTTTCTAAGGCTTGAGAACAAACTATAAATTGTTCTGTAATGGTTCAGGCATTCTACTTGGATTTAGTGAATAACAGAACTACTGGGAATAAAAGCCACAGAATAAACATCCACCCACTCCCACAAAGTCTCTTGCCTCTTGGAATAAAAAAGGGATGGATTCCCATGAAGTCGTCCATCCACACAAACTCTTTCTCCCTTGTTCTGTTATAAATCTTTAGTTCATTCTTCTGATAATCAGTCAGGTCAAGGAATTGACTCATTTTCTCACGTAAGAATGTCAGGCATTTTTCACGAGCTAATAAAGCTGTATCAGCTGCGCAGGATGTTGTACCTGTAATTAGAAAACAGATTGTGTGCTTTACAAACATAACTAGGCACAATCGTCTCATCACTAAGAAACTCAGTTCCTTCACAGATGCCATTTTTGTGCAGTATTCTGTTTCGGGTTTATATTTCACGTTGGTGCTTTTGCTTGCCAGTGCTTCCAGTACTATTTACCATGGCAAATTGTTCCATGAGCAACAGAATTAAGGACACCTTATCTCCAAAACCCTCTCTTCTACCATCACTATCATCCTGATCCCTTGCCATAGTCTCCCCTGGCCTTCTCTCCCCGCATTTCTTGTGGCTTTTCACTTTCTCCCCCACTCCCATATCTCCTATTTCTCAGCTAGGCCAGTAACCTAACATGCAAAGATGCATTCTGAGCTATGGACATGATACAGGCTAGCATGCACAGAAGCTGACATGTGGGGTGGGAGAGAGAAAAATATGTGGTCATGTAACTAAATACTATATCAACTCAGAAGAGTCAAAAAACACAGGCTTTTTTAATTTGTGTGCTAGCCCTTGACATATTATTATTACCACCTCTAATTTACTTAAGCTTGCTGTATAATTCAAACTCTTGCTACTAAAACAAAAAAGTATATGAAGTACAGGATATCATTAAATGGAAGTGAAAACTTCTCCAAGAAGAGTTCCATGCTGCCCCAAAGCATTTTGTTTGCATTCTACTCAAACATATTAATACAAATACATACCTTCGTATTTTCTGCTACCAAATGAGCACTGAAGACTTACCTGATCCTATTCCATCAATGTATACCAAACATGCAGCATGGATAAAAGACATCATTGGAGAAATGTAAAGAAGGCTATATTCCTTGGCAGAATCAGACTCTTCATCTTCTAGCATGACATTCATAAAATTAACCCAGGATAAGATGTCTCGCACACTGAGAATACACTGGCGACCAAACTCTTGATTAGTCAGCCATTCCACAAAGTCCATCATAAGCTCTGCTATATCTGCTCCTGAAAAAAGTTGAAAATCAATGTAATTATCAAATAATTGTTGTATAATAAGCACCACTGAAGTAGGTACCAGCTGTAACGCAGGAGCAGTGTGCATGGGTACTCTATATCCTAACAGGCAGGATAACTGAAACAGATCCTTTTAAACTCAAGTAACAAGACAGAAACAAGTGATTAATACTAACAGTGAAGCTACTGGCAGAAAACAAAGTGCCTGTTCTTTCAATACCTTACACTGAAACTAAGATTGGGCACTGAAGGGCTGCGGATAATTCAGCTCCCAGCTGGAGAAGTGAAAACGCAGCCTTGATCTTACCTTTGGCTATTCATGTACCATACACAGTGAGGGAAGAATAAAGTCCAAAATACTCTGTAACTGTCCTCAGAAACATACTTACAAGAAAAAGGGACACAGGTGGCATAAATTCTGAGGAAAGTTTAGCAACCTCCAAACTAATTTTTTTCTTAACAATGAATTCCAGCACACAGAGAAATACCCACCTTGATTGTTTATTCCACCCAGAGACAATCCTGGATGAAGATTGTGTTTTACAATCTGTATCAAATCATCACGGCCATTGCTTTGGGGACACCATATCTCTGTAAATCTGTTGCGCAATGCAGGAGAAAGCTGCAAACAAGCAGAATGACACAGCAATTCAAGTTACATTACATCATATTACTTAAGGTTGCAGTTAGTAGACAGCCTTACAGCCACAGTACTTGCAAACCATAAAGCGAACAAGCTACACCTTTCCTTCCAACTTTGACGGGGTCATTTTGTAGCAAAATCTTTGAGACAATGTGGATTTTAAGATTTCTAGTAGTGGCATCAATGCAGAAAAGATCTGATAAACAAGAAAGTTCAAAAGAATGTGGGAAGCAACCGAGCTGGTTTGGAAACACTAACGCTCCGTTTCATTCTAGGACATCGTGTATCAAACAGCTATACAATCTCCTTTTGCTTACAGAAGCAAACTGTCACGTGGAAATCTGCCTTCAGTTACAACTCGCTTCTGCAATTCCTCTTTTCCTCTAGCTGAATTAGTCAAGTAAAGGTCACTGGCACAAACACAATGCAGAAATAAATCCCCTTTAAACACATGGCTTTACAATGAGTTGTTCCGTACTACAGAAACCACTTTACCTATCTTCTTTTCAGTAAAAGAGCTTAAAACTTTTTTTTCTTAGTCCTAGCTTCCAACACTGCTTAAAAGTTTTGGATTTGTTTTTTTTTTTTGGTGGTGGTGGTTTTTTTGTGTGTTTTTTGTTTGTTTGCTTGTTTTGTTCTGTTTTGGTTTGGGGTTTGGGTTTTCGTTTGTTTGTTTGTTTTTGTTTTTTTTTCTCTCACTTGTCTTAAGTTACTCAAAGCCAAACTTCAGAAACAGAGTTTTTTCATTTAATGAGAAAGGTCTTTTGGGATGTGATGTTCATATTCACTGAGAATGAGAAGATGATTTCTACCTGTCACTTTGTGAACAGTATTAGGGGGAATAATCTATTATCCAACTTCATACTACTGCAGGCTCATTGTTAGAGGTGGATTTACTTACTTGACGAGACACATTTCCTGTACTTGAAGTATTCTATGTATCAAGTCTGCCTAGAGTATTCAGAGGTCTGAAGTATTCTTTGACATTCTGCTGAATATTGACTTACATTGTCAAAATGACAGCACACAGAAGTGATGGAAAACAGATACAACCTAAACCTCCTTTAGAGTGATGAGGCAGATGCCTACTAGGAAGCACTGGATGCCAGAACCGGCATGGTGCATTTTTTGCACTGCATCTCCAATCACTAACCAGTCAATATGACCAGAAGATCCATGCTGTACTTCCAATGGCTTTGACACTTACCTCTTTTTTCCCAAAGTCACCGCCTGGGTTCATGGTCGCAAGGATACGAAATTTCTTTCCTGCAACTAATAGTTCTACCTCGTTCTCCTCATCATCTTGACCACCTTTTTCAGCAAGTACCAATGTCTTTTCAGCTTCAAGAACACTAGAGAGAAGGCAAAATTTATATTCATAGACGCTAGATAAAGAAGTCTGCACAAGGCACTAGTCTTCGAACTGACAGACGTTACATCTGAGAAGTATTCTACTAGGTTTTTGTGGTTTGGGGAGATTTTGCTTGTTTCATTAGCTGTACTTCACTAAGAGCTGTAAAAATTTGAGCTGTTACCTGTTTAGAAAGACAGTGCTTAGTACTGCTGTCAAAACGAAAAGGTTAACTGAACTTTATGAAAGAATGATAGCTGCAATGATACAATGAAAAAATCCAGCTTGTAACAGAGAAGGTTTAGATATGGTAGAAAACATAGCTGTTATGGAAACAACTACAGTGAGGAATACTGCTACAGGTAGATAATGAAATGAAATTTAGGTTTTATTTTTTACATACATAAAAGAGAGAAATAACTAGATTTTTTTTCTGGTATTTGACAAGATGCATCATTTTCAAGAGCTCACTGACAGGCTGAAAATATTAACATTGCAGAAGATAAATTGGAGATTTTACTTTTAGTTCTACTTTCCAACTTGATTCATGCTGTAAACTGTCTTTAGATACTGTTTAAACTGTTTCAACTGAACTAGGGTTTATGTTCTTCATTTCTTTATCCAGGGACATAAGCTATTGAATAAATAAAATCCTTTCATCATCTTATTTTTGTCCATAAAACAAATACAGCAATTTGAGTGCAGATCAGTCTGTAGCAGCACTATAAAGCCAAACAGGAAGTAATGGCACCAAACAAAAGTATTCAAACCCAACCTAACCAGTGTACCAACACATGTCAGGCAAACATATACATATCTGTTTTTTAATCAAAGTACATTTCATTTTTCCAGGTAAGTTAAGACATCGAGACTTAGGTAAGACGAGGCAGTTTCATCTTGTCTTACCTTACTATCCTTCCCCTTATCTATAACTAAATTTCAAACAGCAAAAATTGCCTAACTATTACTGTGATTAAAACTAGCACCTCTGTCAGATAGATGACAACTAGAAAAACAAAGCAAGCCAGCAAAGAAGTTGAAATATGAACAAGGCCAGAGTTATCTGGGTCACTCTTCCTTTCAAGCAAGAACTATGCTATTAAGAGAGCAGCTCACCCAGGCCAGGAAACAAACGTGCCTAAAAGAAGCTAGATTTACCCCGCTCATGTTTGTATAATGAATAGACACATTGAGGATACTTAGTACTAATGCATTTAAGACACACCTGTTAAGTCGCTCTAATACAGAATCATCAGCTAAAGAAATCTCATCAAGGAGAAAAAAACCCTCTTCTTTCATTGCTAAAACAAGAGGTCCATCACACCACTCAAAGAGTCTAGAACCATCGGATTCCTCCTATGAAATGGAAAAAGAAGTAAAAAAGTCATTAATAACTGCTACATTTTGCTGCCATGGTCACACTATCCAAACTACTATCAATGCAAGACAAACCTGGTCTTTCAACCTTTGCCTGACAGGTCGCAGTCCTCCCAGGAAGTCCGAAGTCTCCATATGCAAGTGACAATTCACCGAGTACAGTTTCTGATTTGTCAATGCTGCAAAGATCTGACAAACGGTAGTTTTACCACACCTGCAACAAAGTAATTTAATTGGAAGGGAAGAATAAAACAGAAAGTCAGCTCACTTTGGACAGGATTCACTTTCATTGAAGAGCTATGAGGCAAAGGCCCAGCATGCAAATTTCCTTCTGCTCCTTTCCTTGTAACAAACGTATGCAAAGTGAAGTCATTTTTGGCACAATAACTGCTGCTGACTTTCATAAGACACCTAAATTAAATTTAAATCAATATCTACATTGATGGATTTCTTCAGGTTCAAAGTCAAATTTATTTCAGCCTGCCCTTCTTACAGGTACTCAACTAACCTAACATTTCACTAAACTAGAGATGCTACATGTCTGGACCAAGCCTAAGTCTGAGGGAATAAACTGCTGACTAGAGTTCTCATTTATTACCTAAATATTTTTATGTCTCTCTTTTCTTGCATTTTTCTTCCCTTTTCTCTCATAAAAATTTACTCTCCAAATTTATAACCAGCACAGAAGCAGACAGCATCTACTTCCACGATCTCCTTTACAGCACACGAGGCAGGGTCTGAGAGGAGAAGTAGTAGCAAGGCTATATTTAAGTTCTTAAGACATGTAAAGTCTTAATGATCTCAAACAGAAAAATGTCACAATTCTCCAACAGCAGCCTCTCCAGCGAGGCACAGTGAGATTCTACAGGGCACCTTGCGAAAGGTGGGGACAAAAGTCAGCTCACTTCAATTTTACTACTTTCCATATAGTTTCTATGCAGTTATACGTAATGCAGATAATGCCATTAAAGACTTGTGCTGAAAGAGATGCAAATGCATGCCCTCAAAAGGGAACTGTGAAAAGCAGAAGCTGGAAGTCTGCCATGACAGAGGCTTAAGTGTCCCAGATCAAAGCAGCGCTGAAGACCACACAATCATTTTGTGTCTGACTCGGTGGCTGGTGCAGCACTACGAAGAACTGCATCATAAAAAGCAAGGTTACCCAGTGTCTCCCACCAGCAGTACGGGTTCACCAAACTCCAGTGCTCGTCCCACCAGAATGGCAAGTCTCCTCATCCCTTGAGTCCAGACAATATGGTTAAAATCTCTGTCCATCACCGACATCCGTGTGGAGGATTTAGCTGCACAACACAAAGCAATCCATCAGCTTCAGTCACATCTAGAGAACTACTAGTGTGGTCCTTCTAGGAAACTCACTCAGTAGCTTTTTGACGCTTTCCTCTGAGAAGAGAAACTCAGGATACAGTTTTTTCTTGAAGTGTTTTTCAAGGACACTCTGAATAACATCCACCTCCTCCTGTTTCCTGACTCTGCCTGCCAGAAGCATAAAACCTATAAAACAGAGGAAGAAGGAAAGTGATTGCTAACTGGTTAATCAGCAACAAAAATTTATACTTAAGAACTAGTTAGAAAGCAATTCTATAGACACTTAAAAAACTTAAGGTAACAGAGCTCACCATCATTTGCTAAGTGCTGAAGCCAGTCATACTCCTTCTCCAGCTGTTCTGCCAATCTGTACCTTTCAGCCCAACGAAACAGATCCCGCAGGGTAATGAACCCATGCTTCCCAGCAAACACCGTTGAACCTCTGCGGTAAGACTGTCACAAGAAGAAAGTGTGAGACATTTTTTCAGGAACCTGTCCAAATACTTAAAGCAAAGCTAATCAGAGCTCTCTGATGTGACACTTATTCAAACAAACTGTATGGAGGAAAAAAAAAAAAAGTCTACTACAGTCGCAACTCCCAAACTCACATTACCTTTAAGCAGGTATTTGATAGGTACCAGGAGCAAAGGAATATAGATAATCATAAATAAAAACACTAAGAAGAAAATAGATATCTGGAATTAAAATAAAATTCAAGCAAAACATTAAGTTCTACACCAAAACGCGTGTTAGCACTTTGGACTGTGCTCTGGCTTCTGCTGCTGCAATTGCTTTTAAATACGAGAGTTTCAGCTACATACTAAGCCTTAAATGCCTGTTAAACACAAGAGTGTCAGAACACATGCAAAATTACTGCTTAAAAACTATACCAAATCTAGCATGACCCAAAGACAGCTACAAATCCAATACCATACTTTGGATCCAGAGCAAGGGGTTATTCTACACATCAAATCCCAAGGCCTTTGGTTATTATTTTTTTTGCTGCTAGCTTTCTCTCAAATCTGACATTGCCTTTCCTATTCTCTATCTTAACCACTGAACTGAGTACTTCAGCGGTTACTCTTTCATCAGCTATGGTTTAGGTGTTAAAATATCTGCTAGTTAGGAACACCTAGCCCTGAAGGAATTTCTATTACTTTGTGTTGAAATATGTTTGCATGTCTTCTACAAAAAGAAGAAAAACTCTCATACTTGCAGGTCTAACATGACTTTGACAAGCTTGCTGCAATAAGAAGGTGGCAAACTGCACCGCTTGTGCAGGATGGTTTCGAGTTCAGCACTTGGCAGTTCGTCAAAATGCAGCTCCACAAAACGATTTCTGAAGGCTCTGGATAAAACCTGAAATATGAGAACATACTATCGCTTGAACATTTTCCTTTGATGTTCCTCATGTTATATATCTTCCCCTACAAATCCAAAGGAAATATGGATAGTGCCATAGCATATAAATTGGCACGTACACACAGACATTGAAAGAAAGCATAAGAGAGCCTGGATGAGGACAAGAGCTTTAAAACGTGTTGTGTTTTAACCACAGTAGGCAGCTAAGCACCAAACAGCCACTCGCTCACTGCCCCTACAATGGAATGGGGGAGAGAATTAGTCTTGTGAGAAAAAGTGAGAAAACTAGTGGTTTGAGATAAAGACAGTTTCATAGGTAAAGCAAAAGCTGCATGCACAAACAAAGTAAAACTAGGAATTCATCCACTGCTTCCCATTGGCAGGTAGGTGTTCAGCCATTTTCAGGAAATCAGGGTTTCATCACTTGCAATGGTTATTTGGGAAAAGAAACACTGAACATTCCCCTTTCCTCCTCCCCTCAGTTTTTATTGCTGATCATAGTAACACATAGTGTGGGATATCAGTTTGGTCAGCTGTTCCAGCTGTGTCTCCTCTCAGCTTCTGGTGCACCCTCAGCTTACTCGCTGGTGGGTGGTATGAGAAGCAGAAAGAGCCTTGACACTGTGCAAGCACTGCTCAGCAATAACGAAAACATCCCTGTGTTATCAACATTGTTTTGGTCACAAATCCAAATACCACCATATCAATCACTACGAAGAAAATTAACTGTTCCAGCCAAAACCAGCACAAAACAGACATCAGTAGTCTAAGTCAAACCTCTTCTCCAGGGCTCTTGAGCAAGAAATGCTGTCAAATATAATATACACGAACTCCAGTTCAGTAAAGCACTAAATCTCAACTACTCAAAATGAATTAGAAATTTGTTATCTGCAAAACAAGCAACTAACCTAAATAGAACCCAGCTGTACCAAAATTAGTCCACAGACACCTCGTCTCTACCTCTTGAGAATTTCATATCGATTCTGTGCTAGGCATCAGAAAGTTTTCACATCACACTATGTACGAGAGAGATTCATTCCCTAGAGCTGTAGCTACTCCAAAGAAGAGATTATACAGACCTTTCTGCCACCATAGAGTCCTGGAGGATTCTGTGTAGCAAACAGCATGAAGCGAGGGTGAGCTTTGACAACTTCCTGGGTCTCGGTTATGAACAGCTCCCTGTTATCATCCAACAAACGGTTGAGAGCCTCCAGAACATCAGTGGGAGCCAAATTGAGTTCATCTAGAACAATCCAGTAACCCTTTCTCATTGCATCTATGAGAACGCCTTGGAGGGAACAGAAAAAGTTCTAGTTAAAAATCTTACAAACTGAATCTAACAGAAGCATGCAATTCAGACACTTTTAGCAAGCAGTTTTCACTCAGTATAAATTCTAACCCAGAGATGGAAGCAACAGTATTGTTTAAGTTGTTGAATTCTTTTCTTTATGTCCAATAGGACAAGTATGATGAGACAAACTCATAAGAATCACTGAAATTCATATAAGTGATTATCATTAGTTGCATATTAATAATTTTATGACAGGTCATCTCTCCATTGTAATAAAACAGAGAAGTTAAGCAGAAAAGAAGAAAAAAAGTAGTGAAGTGAGACAGGAATTTGGAGAATTCCCATATGCCCACTCACCTTCCTTAAATACCAACTTCCCTGAAGCGTCTGATGTGTAACAACCAATATATTCCTGGATGTCTGTATGCTCATGATTGTTAATCCTTACACAGTGATTTCCAGTAGCAGCAGCCAACCAACGAATTAAACTGGTTTTACCAACAGAAGTCTCTCCTTGAATCAATACTGGATGAGTCCTAAAAGGGATAACCAAAGTAGTGGTTTAGAAGCACAAGTCATATCTTTCTCATATACAAGATAGCAACATTACTTGAAATTTTCACAGATCTACATTACCAAACTACATTACAAAAATAGCACTACTTAACTCACTTAACACTAACAGGGGAACATAACTAACTTTACCCTGAAGTGCTATCTGCTACCCATGAAACTTTACACAGCCGTGTGAAATAAGCATGTTATTCTAACCGCAAATTTTTAGATCATTTAAATAAAACTAGGTATGGCAGTAAGATGGTTTAAGACAAGAAATACATGTATAAATTCAAGTCACTGTATAATAAAAAGTTAACTGTAAAGTGGAAGGAAAATAGACATTACCCACGTCAAACAACAAAGGCTAGACAGGCACCACTCAAGGCCCAAATAAACATCTTTAACTTAGTTTTTTAATGAAAAAGTTGAAACAGACTTACCCTGCAGACACAACTCTGGCAATGTCTTTCAGATTAAGCTTAACTGAAGGGGTTAGCACATAAGTCTCATCTACAGTAGGTTCTTTATCCCCAGCTGAAATCCAGTATCCTTCTATAAGTATAAATCTCCCTCCTTGGGGTTTTGGTATTTGCTAAGGAGACATGACAGAAATAACAGATTATATAAATGAGTTTCAATTTGCTAATGAAGACAACTACTTACATCAGTGCAACATATTCTGTAAGTAGTCATTTTAAATTAATCCCTGAGCACTCCTGCAGTAAGCACTAGCCCCTTGTCACAGAACATAAATTACAGGAAAAGCCTGACCGGATTATTTCAAGGTCATAAAGCAGGAATCTTTGCCAGTGCCATCCCAGCAACAAATTTTGAAGTATGCTTCCAAGCAGGAAACTGACTTTTATCTTTTCATATTCATATATATTTTCTAATATGAAGGGTTTTATTCTCAAAGACCTGTCTCTTACAACTGGCTTCCTCATCCCACCTGCCCAGTCCCCCATGCAAACTCATGCTGGGCTCCCAGCACTAGAGAGATTCTTCCTTTCCCATTAGAGACAAAGCACAGATTTTTACTTTGTACCCATGTGTTCTGCATTTGGAGTCTAAAAATAAAAAGCCTGTGAAAACTCCTCAAGAGCCTGTGAAAGCTTTACAGTTTGAGTTACTGTATTAAATTGCCCACACTCCACAACGCTGTAACTATTCAGACTTCCCTATTTTTTCATATTAACAAATACACTAGATAACATAAGAGCATTTCAAGTAGAAGTAAAAAATTATGAAGGAACAGTATTAAATTATTTTTTTTTTTAGTTGTTATAACATGAAAAACGGGACTGCGAGAAGGAAATATAGAGGAAAAAGGAAGAGAAGGCAACTCAAAATAAATTATATTCTGAATAATAAACAGTTCTATATACAGTTCTATATAGGCTTAGTTACCTACCTGCTTAAGAAGGCTTTTGATGTTGCCAGAGACTATATGCTGACAAATTAGCTTTTGAACTACTGGGTGAGAGCTTCTGTCAAGCTGCGTGAGGAAACTCAAACAGAATCCCTAAGAAGAAGATTTATTTTCAGTGATAAAATGAAAAATAATTAGGAAAAAAATATATAGATATTTAAGAATAATTTCTGTTCAATACTGCACTTAGAGAGTGTTATCCTTTACCCAGTCTTGCTAGTGAATACACACTGAAACAAACCCCAACACAGGTAATCACCTCATACAGTGAGCGTGGTATGCTGCTACACGGATTAGATGCTGCAAATCTCAATGCCCTGCAAAGTGTACGGAGACTATAGTGAGGTCTGTGACCAGTTCCATCCACTAGCTTTGCTTCTGCTTCCTTTCTTGCAGACAAATAAAAGCTGCAAAAATAAAGAGCGAAACCAGTTCCAGTTACAGTGCTATTACTGATCAAATCATTGCTCTAAGGCATTAAACCCAAAGTATGAACACTACAGCTTATCTCCAACTGTCACTTTTTCTAAAGGCTCCAAGACAGGAAAACCATGCCAAACTCTGCCATCTGTATAGTCAGTGAAGCAGAGCAACAGAACATTTTAGAACTGTATTTTTGAGAAAGCTTGATATACAGAGAATGGCTATAAACTCAAACTACTCTAAACACATAACAGTTCTTCAGCTTAATGCAGTGAGACAGTACACCTTAAATTAGTGAAAAGAAAGGCAACTTGATAAACACACAAGGCTTTCATTGGTATGACCTACAGAAACAAACCACTTCAGTCTCTCAGATGGGAAAGAGGACTGCAACAGCAATGCTTTTTAACTGGTGCCACCAAAAAAACCAATTCTGAATAAGTAAATCTCCTCTTCACAAGTACAGAAACCTTCAGGATGAAGAGGGTGGATGTCTACGCTCTTCGTTTCCTAAGACTATGCAAACTGCTACACACGGAGCATCACCGTGTTACCCAAGACAGTCTAACCATAGACTACAGTTACATACTTTCTTTTTGTGCTTATTCCATCAAGGATTTAAAGAGATAACAACCAGCTTACTTCACAATTCCTTGTACTGTATTTTTGTTCACATTCAAGCCTCTCAGATAATCCATGATAAGAACTTGCAAGTCTCCTTCATTTCTCAATTCTTCCACATAAAGTTCAGTAAACCTGTAAGAATCAAATCAATCGGTAACACTTAGACATCAGATCATATTAAAGAAAAAAAACATGTTATACCTTATTCTCATGGTATATAACATTAAAGACTTTCTAAGCAGGAGAATGGTAACTTGTCAAACTACCTATAGATAGACTCAAGAATCAGAGTAATTAAAAAGAAATTATTAGTAATACCTATTTTTAAGTAATTTAGCTGAATTATTTTAACATAGTAGCTGAAAACTAACTATGGGACTGTATTTTTTAAAGTTAAAATTTTAAAAAATTTCCAATAGATATCCAAACGTTATGGCCTGAACACTGGAGCACTGACACAGCAGGAGCACTTTTCAAAGTGGACTCTCTAATGATCTCCATTTTAAAAAGTGAACACTTAAAGAGATATTGTTCAGTCTAATTTTGTTATGACTAGCATATCCAGGACTAATACATCCAGGTTGTTCTCTACTTTCACAAATATCCAGCTCAACAATGATAAAATGAAAAAACTTGACAATAAGCAAAGGCAAATTAGCAGCAAAACATGTACTCAGTGAAGTTCTGAGTATCTTTAAATATGTCAGAGTTTTTCATATTCAGTACACTTCACTGGCAGCTCTATTTAATGAACATATTTTCTAACGGTTAGTTAGCCCAGTATATTTGTACAGGGTGTTAAATATGAGTCTGCAGCCCTTCCATACCATGCATTATAACTGCAAATAATGGCTCAGGACAGACCACAGCAAACCCAACACACTTGAGCAATATCAAGAACTTCAGGGATAGAAGAACTTCAGGGTGGATATTTTTGACAAATGCAAATACAAATTCATTTAAACTTAGCAAGCTGAAGTCTCCTTTCTTCTGTATTACACTCACTTTCTCTCGTCTCACTACTAAGCCAGGAGAGCTAATAGTAATAAAACCTTACTTTGCCACTAATAACTGTAAAAGACTATTTACATATAGCACGTGCATCTCTACAGTTTTGCGCAGTGTTTATGAATCTGATAAGGGATGACATGTGCGACTTTTGGCATTCATGAAGGAAATCACATCAAATACAAGCAGAAGACCTTTGCACTCAGGAACAGGTAGTAGAGAAGAATGGATTTGCCACAACTCCAATTTCCTGGCCGCAGCTCAAACGTTTGAAGATGACACATCAAATACTTCGAACATCATACATCTGTTCCACCATGCAAACCACCTTCCTTCTGAGTGAACAAGGCTGGATATACAGCTTTCGGCAAGTGTGATCAAAACTTTTGAGTTATCAAGATAAAGGCTGCTAAACAGACACAAAGCACTTGTCTTTATTATACCCATGAGGAACATAAACTGCTGCAGTGGCATTCCCAGACATTGACAGCTTAAATGTAAAGAATGATCATTCCCCTGTCCCCAGTGACAACACTCTACACTACTGCTAGACCATTTGGTCATGTTCAGCAACTTTACAGAAGTATTTTCCTGATTATATTTCCTGAAAAGCTTTAACCATAATGTGGAAAGCACCTCTCATCAAAAGTTAATTTCATCTCAGATTTATATCCTCAGGGTCCAGATCAGGCATTCTTCATTGGGTCATTATTTCCTACCTGTTTCTTATTCCTGGAGGAAGATTTTTCTTTCCAACATCTGTAGCTGGATTCATGCATGCAAACAAGCGAAAATCAGGGTGACGGACAAGAGGCTCTAAAGGAAAACAGAAATAAGAGACATAAGATTAAAGCTAAACCCAAGATATTTATTACATCAAATGAGGTATATTTCTTCCAAGTCAGTTTTCTACTACTGCATCACTACATTTTCTTAAAATGTCAGGGTGAAAAGTTTTCAGAGAACAACTACATGTAATTTTATCAGAAGTATCTCTGCATCTTTACAACAGCCACAGGCAAGCAAAATCCTGACTTTTATCAGTGCTTAGCAGGATGTTTTAATAACACAAAATATTGTATAAGCCCTAAATTTGGAACTCCTTTTGTCTCTTTCAGAAAAATGGCCAGTGCTTCCCTCAGCCAGGAAGAAAATCCAGCCTAGGAAGCTCATACAACATTTGTCTCTATCTGTAGCTCCAGGAAACAATATTCAGCAACTCCATTCTTCACCTTTAGATCTGTACTGGGTCTGACTGAGACAGACTTAACTTTCTTCACAGCAGCCCCTGTGGTGCTGTTGAGAACACATCAACGTTTTGGCTATTGCTGGCACAGCATCAAGGCTTTCTCTTTCCCCACTCTGCCTTCCCTTCCCCAGTAACTTAGCTGGGGGTGAGCAAAAAGTTGGGAGGGTACACTGTTGGGACAGCTGACCCAAACTGGCCAAAGCAGTATTCCTACTATATAACATCATGCTCAGCAATAAGAATTGCGGTAAAGGAAGAAGTAGGTGGTGATTTTTGTCTTCCAAGGTGGCTGTTGCTTAGAGACTGGCTGGACTTGAGTCTGCTTGTGGGAGCTGGTTAGAGACTGCCTTTGCATCACTTGTTTCACATGAGTTTTCTTGCTTTTGCTCTTCCTATTCTCTCCCCCATGCTGGTGGGGAGTGGTGGGTTGGAAGAAGTGAGTGAGCAGCTGTATGGGTGCTTAGCTGGGGTCAATCCACAAGAAGGACTCAGAAAAGTCGAAGGCCTTGTCCACGGAGAACAAACGCCTTGTCCTTGTCTAGCTGGAGAACAAATATATTCTCAGGATCAGTGAAAGACAATTACTACAATAGCAACTAAACCTCATGTCCCATGCCCTTAGCAGTAAAGCTACCTCAACTTTATTAAAAAAAATAATGACACTCTGAATAGTCTTTAGAGACAGCACTGCTTACTAAGGTCACTAGAGAGATCTGCTCCTTCTACAATCCAAAGAGGCAAAAGCTACAACAACTTCTGCATGATGAAATCTCCTCAGCCACAGTGAATTAAAACTCCCACTTCTCGCATACAAGTATGAAGTCTCAAAAGAACGCATTATTCTCTTCTGCACATATTCATTTTAACAGTAAATGTTCTCAACTTATTTTGAGTCATATAGGATAGGGAATTAACTAACTGGATAGCAGGATACAGCATAAGCAAGCAAAGAAACAGTACCTGTGTCTCCTCTGTCTAGTAACACCAGTGACCCAGATGATCCTTCCAATAAACCACTCAGGCACTCTAAAGTCTCTGCTGCAGCCAAGTTAATCTCATCCAGTAAAATCCACTCTCCTTTTTTTACTGCTTGTGCCAGAGTACCCTAAAAATAAGATCAATTTGTTAATCGCATCGACAGCGGTGATCTATCAACTAAAGTATCTGTATACTGGAAATACTCGTTCTGCAGTCTATGGGTTGATTAGACAAATGGCAATTCCAGACCTTTTACAGCAATAGCAGTTTTACTGCTCTCCCTCAATAACAGAAACTATTTTGCAAGTCACAGAAGTCAGACAGTTATCACCATTACCAGCTACCATTTAGACTGGCTCAGATGTAACAGAACTACGTTCTCTTATTTGTGCAATGCCACCTGTCAGCGATATCCATCACTGTCGTGCACAAACTTCACTGACTCCACTATGAGAATAAAGGCAGTTAACCTAAAGAAATCCAAACAACGAAATATTACACTCCTCAGGGAACTACAACTTACTAATTAAAACTCTAAGTCAAAGGTTCTCCAACTACTTATATAATCATTTTTTAGAAAGAGGACTGGTCAACATTATACTCTTAGATTTTATGTAAAGTGTGTAAATATTCAAACTAACAGAGTGACAAGCAACAAACATGTATAAATCCTCGTAGTTCCCCCTTACCACACTTATCATTAGAATATTATACCATAGGTTTGAAACATTTTAACAATAACAACAACAAAAAAATCACTTCTAGATAAACAGCACAGATTCTCAGTATTAAGCCTTTCACAGGAATCCCCAGGCAGGAGCACGTCCTACTGGAGACTGGTCAAGATGTTTTTTCTAATCTCATACACTTAAGAAGATGATATGACATACTGCTGATAGTCTTCTATCATATCAGTCCTAATTCCTATTATACAGCACTGAATTAACGTGCTACCAGAAAACATACCTTTTCCCACCTCACCACCCATCTAACCACTGCCTCCTTGCAGCAGCACACTTCGTTCCACAGAGTTATCATGGAACAAGTCTTACTTCACAGCAAGATTCCTGCCAGGAAGTTATTTATATAATACTGATTGCAAAGTCTTTTAAATGCTCCTCCTTATTCTTCCAAGCATCACAATGCAAATCTCTAAATACCTCAACAAATGCAAAGAGAAGAGCGTTTTCTGTCATTTTCATCTGTTGATGAGCATGATTCAGTTTGAGACCAAATGCTTCCCACTTCTCCTTCAGTGGTGAGCCTGTAAGCAAAACAAATTTAAGTTTGTACCATCAGAACAATAGCACAAAAAAATGTTTAACGACACTATTTTAATCAAGCTGTTTCAAGCATAGAGATAGAAGAGTAAGCTTGGCTGAGAAATGAAAACATTCAAGTTCTACAGATAACATTTCACAACTTTTTTAAAAAATAAGTTTTGCTGATTTTTTGGTTTTTAGTTTAGCTGAACACTATTGCCATATGGGTACAGATATTTTGCTATTCATTCCAGCACATCCTAGCTTAGGAACAAACACTTATGCTGCACTTGGTTCCAGCCTGACTGTTAGCGCTCTCCAATTCCCCAAAATAGAAAAAGGCACCTCAGAAAAATAATTCCAAATTTACAAACCTTATGACAGAACATATTAACAATGAACACTCCAGTATCAGTAACAGTGTTGCTTATCAGTTATGACAGTATTTGCTATTGCACTTTTTTCAGTTATTTGTTTACACAGCTTGAAGTACATGCAGCACCATGACTTAAGTTGCTAGCTTTGCAAGTTATAGGTTTCAGCCTGTCGATACCTGCAACAAGTAGTCTTTAAAAATCTCATCTTTTTTACTTCGGTGGGCATTTATTTTCATATCTGCATATTGAGAAGAACCAGTTAAAAGAAGAGGGGCGACAAGGTGCATAATTAAGTT